TTGATTTCCTTTAAGATTGACTGGTTTGACCTCCTAGCAGTCCAGGGGACTCTTAAGAGCCACTTTGGTTTGTTTGCAGTAGATTAATCATGTTGTCCAAACCACAAATTCAGGGTACATCATGTAGTTGATCATAATTACATTACCACTACAATTCCATATATGTTTACCTTACCACTGATATGTACTACAATTTTTTTTCTTCCTAATGTTTTTCCCACAAGAGCAGGATCCCCTTTTTTTTCAGATCAACCAAATGTTGAACTACGTGGTTGCAACAAGAATTGACTGACCGGCTTGTTACCCAAGCCTGATGTCATGGGCTGAGAGAGAATGACTGGCCCAAAGTCACCCAGCCAGCTTTCATGCCAAGGTGGGACTACAGCTCACAGTCTCCTGGTTTCTAGCCTGGAGCCTTAACCACTAGACCAAACTAGCTCTCTTGATGTGTACTACAATTGCAACAGACAAAAAAGAAAGAAATGTGAAGAAATGTAATGATACTTGAGAACCATTAATAGTTACAATGCCTTTATAAACAATGTTTAAAGTCCTTAAATAGGACGTTTCACTATTATTTATTTTTAATATTTATATACTATCTACTTAGATTAAAAAATAACTAATGATGTGTAAAACACAACCTATTTCTTGACCCAAAGTATTTAAAATATTTATTCTACTTCTTAGTTGCCCATGAGTATCGGTGTATGTATGGAAAGCTTTCTTGGCATTCGCAGGCTCCACGCCCTATCTACATTCTATTTAGTTAGATTTTTTTTTTTTCTGGTAAGGTAACATGGTGCATACAAACATTTGAAAATATCCTGAAAAAAAGACAAAAGCTGAGATGATTGAAAAGATCTTGGGAGATGCCATCTGTTTTCTCTCTGGCAAATCAGTGTTTTGGTGTGGCCATGTAGATCATGGCAGCCATTTTGAGTTCCCATAATTTGCTCTCAAAATTCTAAATATGGCTTTAGAAAATACCTGTAAAGGTATCTTATATACCTTTGCACTGGAGAGATAGTGTAACTATATGAAAACTTTTAAATCCTGTATTCCTAAGTGTAATTCTGTGATGGCCCAAGCAACTAATAGGGAAGAAAGCTGGGATTTCTTGATCATAATTGGGAGAAAAAAGAGTTGCAATATCATTTTCCAGTGGATCATCTTTAATCTGATCTCCCATGTATGCCTGTCATAGGTGATCCTTCTGGAATTGTACATTCCCAGTGGTGTAGCTCATATGATCATTGGAATGCTGCAAGTTTTACCACTGGCAATGAGCCATGAAGGGAGTAATCAGTATGCATATTGTATTTTGAGAAAACTGCTGGTCTGTTTTAATTTTCCATCTGCTCAACACAGAGCTTTTTTAGGTCTACATTTTATAGCAGTCTGTTCATATGTCCCTAACTGACTTTAACTTCTCTGTGGCTAGCAGCTGAGATATCAACAGCAGAACACAAACTATGATTTGCAAATCAGTTTTAACCTCTGATTTGGTATACTAGTATAACAGAACTGTTTTGACTTTGAGGGTAGCCGAAGTATTGGTATCATGATTAAGAAGTAGGTTTGCACATATATCTGCTTTTTAAACTAATCACCTTCCCTTACATTAGCCTTGGCTGGTATCAATGCTTACTTAATACTATACCATGATTTATGCTGATTGCTTTTTCTGTTAGTGTCAGTTTAGGCACATGGTTGGTGAAGTGATGCCTTTGAATACTGTGGCACCCACATGCCCCATTTTATGATCACTTTTAGGGTTATTGGTGATTCTTAGGGAATACTGTAATAATCATCTTATGTATTTGTTCCTAGTTGAAATCCTGTAACTAGCACCTAAAGAGTTATAGCTTACAGATACCCTGTCATATTCTTGTGGGGTTTTTTCCCCTTAAATTGAAAGGGTTTATATTCTCAAACAAGCTTTCTCTAGTTGCTCAAACTGGAATTGAAGAATTATTTCCCAAACAAAAATTCAACACACATTTAAGTAGATGAAATTTTCATTCATGGTTCATTGGATATTCTCTTTGTGTCCTTATTTGACCTACAAATTGTAACATTCACTTATTAGCCATCTTTCTAGCTTGAATCACTGTACTGTAATTGTTATACAAATTCTGGGCAAAGTATGCCTAATGTTTTGGTTATGTTGTTCTTTTTATTGTTCTGTTACCCAAATTCAGATTCCCTGTGTGCAAAGACGTGGAAAAGATTTTGGTTGAACTGTACAGTATTTTGGTTGGTCCTAATAAGATATTGCCTTAAGTTTGGATTTTTTACTTAAAATTTAAGTAGATAAATAAATATTAAGTAGAAATAAGCAGTTTGAAATGAGAAAACTACATTGGACATCATCTTATAAGAAAAAATAAGTTGCATTGAATAAAATAGTTCCTAAAACTTTTGAAAACCTTTCTGTGAGTCTGGGGATATATCATGGCTTTCAATTTCAACTGAATCTCTTGTGCCACCTCTCAAAACGCTTCCAGAATCCCCTGACCTTCAAGATAGGTTTTCGAAGGGTTTCAGTTCAAAAAAATTATTTCTATAGTTGCCAAGGATTTTAATGCAAATGTTCTTGCAAATTTCCTCTGTCAATTTTTCAGCACTTCTTTCTGCAGCAGCTCCCATGTGAAAAGGCACAATTTCCTTTCGGTCTCACACAACCAGAGACAATGCGGGGTGCTGCCCTGCACCACATACTGTCACATCCAGTGAAGGAAGGGAAGGAAAAAATAGGGAACCTGCTTGAGCAGGTTTCTAAAATTCACATGCTTAAAAAACAAAATCATTATTTTGTCAGGATTGACATTTTATTTGTACTATAAATGCCAAAATTAATCTCCAAGAGGATGTGTGGAAAATTTAATTGGCCCGATACAAGAATGAAGAAGCTGTTGTGTAATGCAATATGCTATAAAAAAAAACCTTATAGTCATAAACATTCTTTTTAAAAGTTGGTTATGGAGAGGGATGTGGTTTGAGATGGTGAGATTGGAACCAGAGGCGCTCAGGTCAGACAGAACTTACATATAAACATTTAGCAGGTGCGTCCCAAACTCAAACTCAAAGCTGGGTAAAGAATAGCCAAAAGTCCATTAATTTGCAAGGGTGAGAGGAAAGGCTGAGGGCTGGCCTATATAGAGAGCTGTTCTGTTCTTCGTAAGACAGATCTACTGCATGTGACTTTATTCTTGTCTGCAGTAAAGCATCTTATTTAATCATGATGAATCTGAAGTTTCTGTTGGTAGCTAGTTACCACATGCAAGACTGAGTTTCTGGATAGTACAGATTTATTGCCGTGACTGTGTGAAGTCTGATAGCAAAAATCAAATTGGGTGGGGTGGGGGTGGGAATTACTTAGCTTCTAACCTTTGCATGAATACTACCATTTTTGATGAGAGAGTGAGTTGAAAAACAAATACAATAAATGTTCTAACACCAAATGTACATTTTTGGTTAAATTCATTTGAAGGCTTTCCAAAGACAGACATATTTTTCTGTTCACATATTTTTATTTCAGTAGGACTGTAGTGTTTTCCCTTATCCCCCATATTGCAGTTAAGTCAATGACTATATTTAAAATGTGGATGTGTTGGCAGGAAGTTTTAGCTTAAAAGTACCAGGACAAATCCATGATATATTCTACTTCTGCTCCATGATTGATTGATTGATTGATTGATGTGATTTATATCTCACCTTTCTGCACTTCCCCTCTAGGATTTACTGAGCCAGGTAGACCAATGATCAGAGCCAGCATAAGACAGCATCCTGTGCTTTTGTCTAACTGTTCTTATTTTCACCAAGATAATGTGTTGTGCCTTAAAAAGCCGTACTTTCTTTCTTTCGTTCGTTCTTTCGTTTGTTTTTTAGTGGACAGTTTGCCATAGTAAGGAAATGCCGTGAGAAGACCACCGGTGCACGATATGCTGCAAAATTCATCAAAAAACGAAGAACAAAATCCAGTCGCCGAGGAGTGAGTCGCGAAGATATTGAACGAGAAGTAAACATATTAAAAGAAATCCAGCATCCCAATGTGATTACACTGCATGATGTTTATGAAAGTAAAATGGATGTAATTCTTATATTGGAACTGTAAGTAGTTTTTAAGTTATTTGAAATGTCTGTTTTGGAATTGAAGCTTTGTATCAGTTTTGAAAATAAGGTTTATCCCCTCCCCACCCCCCGTAATTATTTTGCATTGGGAGCATCATCCTACATTTGCTCATAAGAATAGAATAAGCCGTTGAAAATAAAGGAATTTGTATGCAGATGTCTTTATCCTTCTGTGCTGTAAAGCATGGATGCTTTTGAAAATTAACCCTGAAGATTATCTGCTTGGAAAGAGTTGAGCTGTTGAATTTTAATTTTATTCAATTAATAAAATTGAATAAAATTCAATTAATTCAATTAATAATTTATAATTTCTCTCTTTTCTGATCCAGCTACCTTTTTCCCTCTCCTCATCAGGATCCAGTTTTGTCCACTCCTTCCTCCCCCCCCCCGCTTCTGTTTGCTTCCTTTCCCTATTTCTTATTCTTATTATCCTCAGCTTGGGGTTTTCCCCCCCTCCCCCCCTTTGGGGGGGGTGGGGGGGATGTGTGTTGGTTGTGGGGGGGTTGGGTGGGGGGGGGGGGGGGGGG